CTATCTACCTCCACAGAAAGAACTGATGGAGCCTGAATGCAGATTGAAGCATGGTATTTTTTCACTTTGTGTGTATGTTTGGTCTTTTTTTTTTCCCACAACATGACTAACGTGGAAATGTTTTGCATGACTGCACACGTGGAACCTATATCAAACTGCTTACCATCTTGGGGAAGGAGAGAATTTGGAACTCACAATTGAAAAAAAGAATGTAAAAAATTATTTTTAATGCAATTGGGAAAAAACAAAACAAAAATAAGGTTCAGGTGGGTTTGGTTAGTATGTAGGGACTCCCATCCATGGTTAGCTCAGGTTTTTCTATCTCAACTGTATGTGGCCTTTGCATGATGCAAATCATGATCTGAGCCCCCACCAGTGTGATACTCTTTAGTCCGACAATAAAACAGTCATAAATCCAATTGCATATTTGATGACTTTTTTTGACATTCTAAATCTTTTTTTAATTAATTTATTTTGATTTATCAACAATCACCTCCATAAGCTTTTGAGTTCTAAATTTTTCTCTCCCTCCCTCCCCACCTCCCTCCCTAAGACAGTGTGCAATTGATATAGGCTATACATATACATTGCTATTAAACATATTTTCATGTTAGTGATGTAAGTAAGAATTAGAACCAATAGGAGAAACCACCAGAAAGAGGAAACAAAACACAACGGAAGAAAAAAAAATAGCAAATATTATGCTTCGATTTACATTCATACTCCACAGTTCGTTCTTTGGATGTGGATAGCATATAGCATTTTCATCATGAGACTTTTGGAGATGTCTTAGATTCTTGTATTGCAGAGAAGGGTTACGTCTGTCAATATTAGTCACCGAACAATGTGGCTGTTACTGTGTATAACATTCTCCTGGTTCTGCTCACTTCACTCAGCATCAAACCATACAAGCCTTTCCAGGGTTTTCTGAAGTCTGCCCCGTTCATCATTTCTTATAGCACAACAGTACTCCATTACATTCATATATCACATTCACTGTTATGATCACTATCTGTGTCTTTCTCTCCATCCTTCCCCCCACCCCCACCCCCCGTTTATGTTTTTCTTTCTCCTTTTCCCTGTTCACTAGTGTTTTGCTTTTGACCACCGCCTCCCTCAGTCCCTTCTATTAGCCCCTCCCTTTTCTTCCCCTTTACCCTTACTACTTCTTCTCTCCCTTCTATCCTCCCCCCTCCCTTTTCTTTCCCCCTTTCCCGCCTTCTGCCTATAAGGCAAGTTAGATTTCTATACCTAACTGATTATGTAATTCCCTTCTTGAGCCACATCTAATGAGAGTAAGGTTCAAACAATGCTCATCTCCCTCGCTTCTTTCCCTCTGCTGTAATAGGTTTTTGTGCCTTTTTCTGTAATGTAATTTACCTTTGTCTGTCTCCTCCTTTCCTTTTCTCTCAGTACATTTTCTTAGATCAGATTAATACACTTACTTGGATCCATTTAACCCACTTGATTAAATTTTTTTCTCATTACATCAAAGTCAATTTATACCCACCCCCTTTATGTGTACCCCTTTAACATGATGTAATAACAATACAGTTCTCAAGAGTTACATGTGTCATCTTCCCTTGTAGGGATGTAAACCGTTTGCCCTTTTTAATAACATATTGTTTCTTTCTGTCCCATTTACCTTTTTATGTTTCTCTTGAGTCTTGTATTTGAAGATCAAATTTTCTGTTGAGCTTTGGTCTTTTTATCAGCAAGGTTTGGAAGTCCCCTATTTTGTTGAATATCCATCTCCTCCCCTGAAAGATCATGCTCATTTTCGCTGGGTAGTTAATCCTTGGTTGTAATCCCAGTTCCTTTGCCTTATGGAATATCATATTCCACACCCTATGGTCTTTTAATGTAGAAGTTCCAAGGTCCTGTGTAATCCTGACTGTGGTTCCATGATATTTAAATTGTTTCTTTCTGGCAGCTTGCAGTATTTTCTCTTTGACTTGATAATTTTGAAATTTGGCTACTATATTCCTTGACGTCTTCAATTTGGGATCTCTTTAAGACGTGATTGGTGGATTCTTTCTATGGCTATTTTACCCTCTGGTTCTAGGACCTCAGGGCAGTTTTCCTTGATGATTTCCTGAAAGATACTGTCCAGGCTCTTTCTTTCATCATGATTTTCAAGTAGACCAATAATTTTTAAATTGTCTCTCCTGGATTGATTTTCCAGGTCAGTTGTTTTACCAATGAGGTATTTTACATTTTCATCTATTTTTCCATTCTTTTGTTTTTGTTTGACTGATTCTTGGTCTCTCATAGTCATTAGCTTCCATTTGCCTAATTCTAATTTTTAACAAATTGTTTTCTTCTATTAGATTTTGTACCTCCTTCCCCATTTGGCCAATTGTATTTTATAGGGACTTATTTTCTACAGTTATTTTTTGTCCTTCCTTTTCCAAGCTATTGACTCTCTCTTGCATACCTCTCATTTCTTTTCCCATTTTTTCTTCTACCTCTCTCATTTGACTTTTAAAATCCTTCTTGAGCTCTCCTAAGAAGGTTTTTTGGGCTTCAGACCAGTTCGTATTCCCTCGTGAGGTTCCAGGTGTGGGTTTGTTGACAATGTTGTCCTCTTCAGTATTCCTGTCTTCATCTTCACTCTTACCATAATAAGAATCTATCAAATGTTTCTTTTTGTTCATGGTGTTTGCTTATTTCCTGGCCTTTAAAGAGACTGAGCTCTCCTGCTGGGAAGCAGAGGGCACTAACCCAAGCTTCGTGTGTTGGGAGCCTAGGGCTTGACCACTGGCTTTGTGTGCTGGGGCCTCCAACGCTGGCAGTTGGAGGCTGTAGGGTTCTGGCAGCTTACCTGGTGTTGGGCTGGAATCAGCAACACTGGAACTCCAGGGGTAGGATTGGGTAGTGTGGCTTCTAGAGAGTTCCTGCTCACCCTGGCCTTTCCTTCCTTTCACTTTCTTCAGCTCCTTTTGCAGGATGTTTATCCACCTGGGGCCCCTTGGAGCACTGCGTCCCTTAGTTTTGCTGAGGCACTGGGAGACTCCTTTGCTGTAGAATGCTAAGGCACCTGGTGGTTTTCCAAGCTGGTTTCCACCAGTTCCCCCACCCTCACTGAGGAACTCGGGGGTCCAGGTGTTGGTGTTTGCCTGCTCCACCACCTGGGTTTCAGGATCTCCTCCTGGCATGCTGAGGTGGGGCTTTCCACTAGCTTGCTGGGACATCTCCCATTCTGTACTGCTCCCCTTCTCCTAGGACAAGAAGGGCCTTTCCCGTTAATCCCTCAAGCTACCTGGGCTACATGACTGCTGCACCCATCTTTCTTCTGGTTCAGCTGTTCTAGGGTTTTTCCTGGGGTGATATTTTCTGGACTTTCAGAGGTTAAGGAAGGATAAGCATATTTGATGTCTTTTTAAAAATCAGCATAAATAATGAGATCAAGCCCTTAAACCACAGCTATTGCCCCTCCTTCCTCTCAAGCCCACCCGATGTACAATAAGAACGCTTACTTGCTCACTAGTGAGGTGCCAGCTAGGTAGACCTTAATTTAGAAAGGCCGAGGTCATCCACTGCATCCTGGGCCATGCCAGCTGTCTTTGTTTTTATCCTACCACTGGACTCCAATAACTCTGGAGGAGAGAGTGAGGCTGGTGACTTTGTGCCAGTAGGGAGTTCCTCACCATTGCCTGAAGGGACGCTTTATGTCCAAGGAAGGGCTGTAGGAGCCAAGACAGACTGAAGGAAGCAAGGAGTAGCAAGGGAACAGTGGAAAAGGTGATGGAGAAGGCAGTGCCGATTGTGACCACCGTGGGGTGAGATCAGTGCATGTAGGCCTGAGAGCCGACAGGGACCGGAGCCTGACAAATGGGTTGGCATCCAAGCAAACTTGAGACCAGACACAAACCAGGGTGGCTAGGGGTAACCATGAAGTTTTCATTTTGTGGGTCCTCCTCCCTGCCCCCCACTCCAAGGAAGAAGTTAGTATTGAATCCAGGAGGACATATCTCATTAGCAGAAAGCGGCCTTCTCGATATAACCAAGACCTGTTGTTCTGGTTTTCTTGTGATGGAGTGATCTTTGGTAACCCGACTCCGGTTACCTGCATTTGTGTTGGTGGGATGAGCCTCTAGAAGGGTTAGATTTCCAGCACTGTTGTTCCCCACCCCCACCCCCCAGTCTTCTTACATTTGACGCCCCCTGGGGACCCTGTTAAGACCCTCCATCTCCTGACTCCGGGCATCCTCTGCGGCCGTCCCCACGCCTGGAATGCAATCCCTGCAGCCCGGCTTCCTTCTAGTCTTACAGGAGACCTTGCCCTGCCCCTCAGGATCTGATGCTTTCCCTGTTAATTGCTTCCTATTCGTCCTGTACACAGCTAGCTTTGCACGTCGTCTTCCATGTTAGACTGTAAGCTCCTTGAGGGCAGGAGCTGTCTTCTGCCTCTGTACGAGCCAGAGCTCGGTTCTTGGCACACAGGTGCCACACAGACGCCGCCCCGTGACCCGACACTCGGCCTTCTGGGAAATGTAGTCCAAAGACTCCCCCAAAGTCACGTTTCCCTCTCCCGAGCTCGGGACCCCGCGGTCGTCTGAGGCAGGAGGGAAGCCCACCGCCGCCGGGCCTCGAGGACTAGGCCGACCCCAGCCCAGGGCTGGCCAGCCCCGCGACGCCCGTCTTCCAAATCAAGAAAGTGCTGGTCTGGGCCCGCCCTTGAACCCCGTTCTGTCCCGACCCCCTTCCACGGCCCCATCGCTGGGTAGATGTGCGCAATGTGAATCTGGGGGGCGGGTCACTCCGGGGAGCCCTCCCGTCCCGAGGCTCGGCTTCGGCGCGGGCCGGTACACGAAGGGTTAAGGAGCGGAGGCGGGCTAGCTTGGGCGCAGCCGCCCGCCGTAGCTCCGCCCCCGCCGCTCCGGCAGGGCGGTGCCTTCTCCAGCCGCCGGCTGCGGCGAGGAGGGGCGGGCCCAAACAAGGGCTGAGCCAATCGGGTTGCGGCTGGAGGGTGCGCTAGCCAATGAGAGCGGGGAGCGGGGTCCCGGACTAGAAAGGCGCAGTGGCGGGGAGGGGAGGCTGGGACCATGGGGCTCCTGACCATCCTGAAGAAGATGAAGCAGAAAGAGCGGGAGCTGCGGCTCCTCATGCTGTATCCTTGAGCTCACGGAGCCCTCGGGTGGCGGGGGCGAGGGAGAGGCCCGCGCGGGAGTACCATGCGCTTCCCCCGGGGTGGGGGGAAGGGAGGACGCGGCGCTCTGGGCCGGGCCGGGACGTACCAACTGCCCTGCGTGGGTTACGTGGTCGGGATCAACCAATAGCCCTTGAAGGGGGTGGGGTGGGAATTGGTCCGTACCATCCAGGCCCAAAACGGGGGAGGCCTGCCTGTAGGGATTTAAACCAAATGTCCCCAAGCAGAGGGGGGTGCGGGGAGACAAGTGGCATGGACCAACTGCCCCGGGGGGGGGGAGGCACGGGAGGGAGGAGGATGGAGCGAGTGGAAGCGTTGGGCTGAATCCCAGCCTGGCTGTCGCCTGGGCGGGCCTCCGGAGCCAGGCTGGGCCGGATTGTCCGAATGTGGGCTCCCCCGTTAGACTGGCAGCCCCCAGAGGACAGCCTGGCACACAGTAGGCACTTCACGAATGCACGTTGCCGTCCTTCTCTTATGTCAAGCCTAACTTTGTGCCAGTCCAGTTCCGTCAGTGGACAAGAAACTGCCTGAGGGCAGGGCCTGAGTGACGTTTTTATTATTCATCTTGGCGCCCTAGCGCCAAGCACACAGTAGGTGCTCAACCTATGTTTGTGGAATTGATGGGGCCCTTTCATTCGAGGAGCTGCACTAGACGCTGTAGTCCTGTTTTCTGTGTGACCTTGGGTAAGTCACTTCCCTCCTTCTGGAGGGGACTGGAAGGGTGAATGGGTCACTGTCTCCTTAACCCTTCGCCCCCAGCGGTCTGGACAATGCGGGAAAGACTACCATCCTGAAGAAGTTCAACGGGGAGGACATCGACACCATCTCGCCCACCCTGGGCTTCAACATCAAGACCCTGGAGCACCGAGGGTGAGGGAGACCCTGTGTCCCAGGAGCTGGCGGCCCACGGGCGGGGCCTGACCCGGCCCGCCATCCATCCTTTCCCGTCTTCCTCCTCAGGTTCAAGCTGAACATCTGGGACGTGGGCGGCCAGAAGTCCCTCCGCTCCTATTGGCGGAACTACTTTGAGAGCACGGACGGCCTCATCTGGGTGGTGGACAGTGCTGACCAGCAGCGCATGCAGGACTGCCGGCGGGAGCTGGAGAGCCTCCTTGTGGAGGAGGTGGGCGCGGCCTGGGGGTGCGGGGGCTGGGGAGAACTGGGGCACAGAGCCTGTCGCCGTCTGAGTGGGGAAGGAAGACCTCTCGAGGTCTGCAGAGTGCGTTTGGCCCTGCCTTCTTGGGACACTGAGGCACCGAGAAAAATAAGCTCCTTGAGGGCAGGGTCTCTTGCTCTTGTCTTTGCATCCCCAGCACCTAGCCAATGCCTCGCACATAGTAGGTGCTTAATGAATGCTTGCTTGCTTGAAAAAAGATCACAGATCAATGTTAATTTGAATCAACATACATTCACTTCCTGCTGTATACCAGGTAACGTGCTAGGCTCTGGGGATTAACAAAGATATAAGCATATAAGCACGTCCTCAGAGAGCTTCCAGGGTACTGGAGGATATGACGAGTACACGGGCAGGACACAAAGCAAAGATTCTAACACAGGGTTATGGAGTGAAAAGGGCAGATGGCCAGAAGTGGAAGAAAGTGGATTGGGGAGCCAGTAAGGGAGTCACATGACAAAGCTGGAGAAGTAGGTGGGGGCTGGGATGCCAGGCAGCCAGTGAGGAACTGTGGCAGACAGGCGCCCCCCCTCCCCCCAAGATGCTGAGTGCGGCTCTTCACCCAAAGGCCAGGCAGCTGCTTCCTGTGGAGTTGTCTGGTCATCATGTCTTACTGCCTGCTACACACATGTACATGTCGTACACACGTAGCGCAGACAAGTGCCCATGACTCCATTCATGTCCCTTTCCCTCACCTCCCTCAAGCTGCCCTCGGTGCAGTGCCCAGAGTGGCTCACAGCGGGTTGACCAGCTCAGAGCTCTCTGGGTCCCTTCTCGGCCCTACCGCCACCTTTCTTTCCCTCTCAGCGCCTGGCAGGAGCCACTCTCCTGATCTTTGCCAACAAGCAGGACCTCCCTGGGGCTCTATCCTCTAATGCCATTCGAGAGGTGAGTTGAGGCCTTGAGGGGCTGGATGGGAAGGAGGGTTGGGGGCGCTGCTCTCTGAGGGTTGCTGTCCCTCCCTCAGATCCTGGAGCTAGATGCCATCCGCAGTCACCACTGGTGCATCCAGGGGTGCAGTGCAGTGACAGGAGAAAACCTGCTTCTGGGGGTTGACTGGCTACTGGACGACATCTCCAGCCGCATCTTCACTTCAGAATGACGCCCCACCCCCCCAGCCCAGCCCCAAGCCGCCAGCTCCTGGACTGACCGTGAAGGGCGGCCCCTCCATGCATCCCTGGCTCCTGCAGACCATCCCTGTGTCCTGATCCTCTCTGGCCCAGGGCCCCGCGGGGAGCCAGGACTGGAGGGGGACGGAAGCCCGTGGGACCCCCACTAACGCCTCCTTCCCTGTGTCATAAGCAGATGCTGCCTGCGCTGTTTAACAGGAGAGACCCTGCTGCTCTGGGGGAGCACCTTCCTCCCCGGGGAGGAGCGGCCCCCGTCCCCTAACCCCTGTCCCTCCTGCAGCGCTTTGTCTGTGGATTGGTGGAGGAGCAGGAAGAGCTGCACCTGCTCTCGAGGGCCCTTCCTCTGCTCAGCCCTCGGAATAAAAGCCCTCTGTGCCCCTGGCTCCTGTGGTCTCCTTCCTTCCAGGCTACCCTGCTGCCAAGGGACGAGGCTTCCACACACTGCCTCCCCATCGTGCCCAGAGGGAAGGGTGGCCATGCATGGAGCACCCCCAAAGGCTGGAGGAACCAGCAACCTTCCTCCAGGGAAAGAAGTGGCCGCCCCCTACCGGCAGTTGGGGGAGAGCAGGAAAGGCCATCTCCAGAAGGCAGCTCTAGGACTGTCTGGGAGGATGCTGGAAACTCGTAGGAGGAAGAGTGTTTCAGGCATGGGCCTCTGTGGCCAGTGGAGGGTGTGGGTTGGCTGGACCTGACCAGGCTTCCCTAGATGACTGCTGAGCTCCTGGGATACTGCCCTCTGGGCCCCTGGCCTGCCCCTCCAGCTTTTCTTAAGCCCAGCACGCTAATTCTTCTGAAAAATGATCTGGTTTTCACTCAGACTATAGAACATGAAATACTGGAGATGGGAGCAGACTTGGAGCATAGGATGTCAGAGGTGAGGAGGGGGGAGGTGATGAGACTTCAGAACACACAATCTCCAGGCTGGATGGAGCTTAGAACACGCAATGGCAGAGGTGGGGGAGGCATGAGAGCCGCTTTTCCCTCAGAAAAGGGTCATCTTCACACTGACTAGGGCAGAAGAAATGGGCTTAGGAGGGAATCGAAGCTGAAGAGACATGAGGAGATGGCAAAGGCATCTGGGAGCTTGCAGCAAGCCCCTGGTCTGAGTAAATTACGTCCAAGGCTGCGCTGTGCTAGAGCCCAGGCTGACATCTTAATGTCTAATTCAGTTCAGTAGGAAGGCGCCCATCCCCTGCTCCAGGCAGAAGGCCTTGGTGCCACCCAGAGCAGCACTCAGACTCCTAGGGAAAGAGAAGAAAGGAGGCTCCAAAGTGTAGCTCCCGAGAAGGTCTTCTGTCCCATGGGACACAAGGTCCAGGCCGCAGCAAAGGTCTGTTCACGAGCCTCTGACCCTAATAGCGATGGTCATTCTGTCTTCATGACAACCCTGGGCCTGCTACAGTCTCCATTTTACAGAGGGGGAGACTGAGGCACAGTGAGGTGCAGGAAGCACTTGGGGCTGGACTTGAATTCAGGGCTTGCATTTAAGAGCTGTCCACTCACCGTTTACATCAGATGGGAGCCCACGGGGGCCCTCATCACCAGGACCTGCCCACTTGGGCTGCCTGGGAGTTGGGCTGAGCTGCTGTCTGACAGCCAGACCTTCCTTGGACCTGTCATTTCAGCTCTGAGTCTTGTGAACTGCTTGGCTCAGTGCCTGGCACGTAGTAGGTGCTTCATAAACGTTTGTTGCCTGGAGTCCAAGGCACCAATGGCCTTCCCCAGGCTCCAGGGGCCACTGTGGAGTGGCTCATTCTACGCCTTTCCGAAGAACACAGAGTTTTAAGACCGTCCCTACATTCAGCATCTCCTGGGGGGTGGGGTGGGGTGGGGTGGGGTTCAGGGAGAGCCGCCTAGGAGAGTCTTGCGCACGCGCAGAAGAGGCGGTGCCTGTCGGAGGCAGGACGGGAGGGGAGGGGACAGCGTGGAGGAGGAGGCCCACGGCCAGGCCGAGGCGCCGGGGTCCGCTGGGCTCCGGCTCCTCGAGGATGTCCCTCAAAGCGAAGGACGACTTCCGGCGGCTGTACACAGTGTCGGACACGCGGACCCATCCCAAGGGCTACACGGAGTACAAAGTGACCGCCCAAGTGAGTGAGGACAAGGCCCCTTTAAGAGGAGGGGACCCCCCCCTTAAGTGGGCGTGTCCGGACGGTCCCATCCGCAGGAGTCAGGTGGGGGTGGAGCGCCTGCGGGAATTTAGGACTTTACTAATTTACGGGAGAGGGAGGGAAACGTCGTCTGGGTTCCTTTAACGGTGACGCAAGGGGGCGGAGCCCCAGCTCCAGAGTTGTTTGTTTGGGGTTGCTCCCGCTTTATGTAAACCGGTTTATGAAAAGTTAGGCGATGCTGCCTCTCTGCGAAATGACTCTCCTCGCAGCCCCCAGGACACGGCGCGGACGGCTGAGGGGGGAGGGGGGCGCTGGGAAAGCCTCAGTTTCCTCCTCTGTGCAATGGGCGCCTCCCTCCCAGGGGGTTGGGTTGAGACAGCGGAGGTCGCGGACAGTGAAAGCTCCCCTAGAGCTGCGCGCCCCGCTTATCGTCCCTGGCACACAGTAGGACGTCACCTGGGCTGGTTCCTGGCCAGTGTTCCTCCTCTCTAAGTAATTAGTGGCGCAGGCGTGGGGGGGCGGGGGTCGTTTGCTGGGTTTTCTCCACCAAACAGGACGTTCAAGGGTGGAAGGGGCTCCGCCTCCCGCCCCCCAAATCTGCCCTCTGCTCTGGGGGTGACTGCTGCGCCCCCTCCCCCCTTCCTTCCGTCTTGGGAGGGGCTGTTACCATTTTACAGATGTGGAAACTGAGGCTCCGAAAGGTTTAAGCCACTTGCCCAAGGTCACGCAGCTGGAACCCTGGTCTTCTGGCTGCAAGTCCGTTGCACTTCTATTAATAGTAATTACTATAATCGCATTGTCATAGCGCTTCTGTAGTGCTTTAAGATTTGCGGTGGTTTACCTGCTTTCTCGTTTGATCCTCACAACACCTTGGGGCAGGGGAAATGCTGTTTTACAGTGGAGGAAAGCCAGAGGTTAGATGACTTGCCCGAGGTCACACAGTTAGTGTCCCAGGCTAGATTTGAATTCGGGTCTTCCCAAATCTAGGATCGGACCCCCCCAACCTGCAGTTTTCTCTTCTCCCCAGTTACTGCAGAGACAAGGGAAGCTTTGTCCTTTGAAGTGGGTGGCCTGGGGGGGGCTGGGGGTCAGGCGGGGTAGCCCCTCACCTGCCCTGGCTTTCTTCTCTCTCAGTTCATCTCGAAGACAAACCAAGAGGATGTCAAGGAGGTAACTCTTGAGAAGGGGACCCCTCTCCATTAGGACTGGATGCTCTTGTCTGTGCCCCGGGTGGTGGGAGGGGGCTGCCTGGGCCCAGCTTGGAGGGTGGAAGGACCATCCCCTCTCTGGGCCTCAGTTTCCCTTCGGGTAAAACTGGGGTCTGAGGCCCCTAGCAGCTCTCGGTGCCAGACCACGACTTTGGGTCCCCCGTCTGGCCCAGGTGGTCGTCTGGAAACGCTACAGTGACTTCCGCCGCCTGCACGGTGATCTGGCCTACACCCACCGCAACCTCTTCCGCCGCCTGGAGGAATTCCCGGCCTTTCCCCGGGCACAGGTCTTTGGTGAGTGTCCTCTGCAGCGGGGCTGGAGGTGGGGAGCCCAGAGACGTCCAGGACTCCCCTGGACCATGGGCCCCCCACAGGGGTGGGCAGTGGGGAGCCCTGGCCCCCAGCCAGAAGCTGCCTCTCCCCACCTCCCCCTGCTCCTGCTTTTGTCCTTGGGGTCAAGCAGGACACGCACATCCCCTCCCCCAGGACAGCTACAGATAAGGCCACACATTCATTACAAGGGGGAGGGATGAAATGCTCTGCTGGTTGATTGAGAAAAACAAGTTTTAATTGAAAACAGAAGGATGTTGGTGGGTAGGTTTGTCTGAGATGGGGGCATGCTGATGGCATGACTGCAGGCCCCTGGAGCCCAGCCTGGGGGGGTGGCCTGGGGCCCCCTCTCTCCCCACCCCCCGGAGCCCAGCCTGGGGGGGGTGGCCCGGGGCCCCATCCTTTCTGGAGCTTCAGCCGCTGCTGGCCCTTGTCCCAGTGACTGTGGGTGTTTTCTCCATGGCCACTTCGTGGGCCTCAGTGGCCTTCGTAGGCCGGCCCCTGTCCCTGTCGGGGGAGTCTGCAGGGGAGGGATGCCTCACGGCTCTCTTGGGTCCCTGGCCACAGGCCGCTTCGAAGCCTCCGTGATTGAGGAGCGGCGGAGGGCTGCAGAGGCCATGCTACGCTTCACCGTCAACATTCCTGCCCTCAACAACAGCCCCCAGCTCAAGGAGTTCTTCCGCGTACGTGTCTCCCCCCCCACCCACAGCAGGGAGCATCGCCCTGTCCAGACTTGTAAGACCCCTCGGGAGCCGCCTCGTGCAGTCCTTTCTGCCTCAGTCTCCCCTCGGGTGGGATTCAGGGGTCACTAAGCGCCGACTCCTGGATCGGATGACCCCTGCAAACTTCCTCCTCGTGTAGGGTGGGGACGTGACCCGGCCCTTAGAGCCCAGTGACCTGCACATCCTGCCACCGCCCCTGGTGCCCACCCTGCCCCCAGAAGAGGCCCGCCTCCCCCAGCCTCTGCCAGCGGAGCGGCTGGGCCACGAAGAGCTTGGGGATGAGGACGAGAAGCCAGGTACTGGAGCAGGGTCACTCGGCAAACACTGAGGAGGCCAGCCCTTTCCTAAGTCCCCCATTTCTGAGGAGTGCTGCCCCCGGAAGGCCTTTCCTCACACACTGGCCCCTGCTCTCGGCTGTTAACCTCTTCCTTGGTGACCTGTACATTTGTTTTTGTGGGCACTTCGGGGGTCCGTACCTCTTAGAAAGGCAGTGTGGTACAGTGGCTAGAGCACTGGGCTTGGACTCGGGAGGACCCGAGTTCAAATCCTCCTGCAGACACTTAGCTATGTGACGCTGGGAAGGTGGAGCTGGGCCTCCATTTCCTTTGTAAAATGAGGGTTGGGCAGCAGCCCGAGCTCCTTCCCAGCTCCCTGAGGGCAGTGCTTGTTTCTGGCACACAGCAGGCATCCTCAGTGTCCCACCTAAGGAGAGAAAAGGCAGCTCCTGGGGCAGCTGCTTGGGGGGTGAGCTCTGCGCGGGTGCAGACCCCTTGTGGCTTCTTTGTGCAGGGGACCAGCCTCCCTCCAGCCCTGCTCAGGAGGCCCTTGATCTTCTGTTTGACTGTGGGGCTCCTGAGGAAGAGACAAGCCCCGCGGCCCGGGGGCCGCTCACCGAGGCCGAGCTGGCGCTCTTTGACCCGTTCTCCAAAGAAGGTAGCATGGGGGGGTCAACAGGAAGGTGGGGGGTGTGGGGGACTCCCCTGGGAGGTGATGAGTTCCCTGTCCACACAGAGTATTTGAATGAAAGCTAGGTGATTCCTCAGGGGCATTCTTGTTCAGATTCCAGTGGAGCTGGAGGGGCTGGGGGGGCCCTCCCTGCCCAGATAATGGCCGGTCACCGCTGGTCAGCATGGGGGATGGGGGATGGGGGAGTCCATGCCCATTCTGGTGGCTTTCCACCCAGGGAGTGAAAACTTATTTTAGCCAGAGGAGACCTGGCTTTGAGGCCTGCTTGGACCCTCAGTAGTGGGTGATGCGGCCCGAGCCTCTTTGCCCCTGAGAACGGAGGCGGCCAAGGGTCCTGGTGGAGCCAACTTGGAGCTGGCAGCGGCCTGGGGGGAGGAGGGGGAAGGATCTCCATCTTCATTGTATAGAAAAGGAAACTGAGGCTCCATGGGGGAGCACATTGAGTAAGCCTGAGATGGGATTTGACCCCAGGGCCTCCTGCTGCCCGACCCCCCGCCTTGTGGTTGGTGGAGCTAGGCTCGGCCTCCTCTGTTTGAAGCTGTCCCCTCCCACGCCCACCGACAGGACCAGCCTGTGGGGACGATTCTGAAGGGTGGTGGGTGGGGGGCAGGGAGGCAGGGACTGGTGGCCCTGAGCCCCTCTGCTCTGGGCTGCAGAAGGTGCCGAACCCAGCCCCACCCACGTAGCTGACCTGGTGGCCTTGGGGGCAGAGCCCCAGACCCGGGGCCAGTCGCCCTGGAAGCTGGGAGGGGGTGAGGAGGAGGAGGAGGAGGAAGAGGAGGGCCCATGCCCAGCCTACCTGACCAGAGCTACAGAGCTCATCACCCAGGCCCTGAAGGACGAGCGAGCGGGGGCCTACGCTGCGGCCGTGCAGGGATACCGGGACGGCGTGGACGTCCTCCTCCAGGGGGTGCCGGGTGAGCTGGGGCTCTTGGGGCTCTCTGGGAGGGCCTGTTGGGGACATCCTGAGGCTCCTTCACGCAGCCCTCAGGGGTCAGAACCCAGCAAGATGCACTCAGGGCAGGCTGAGCCCGCCCACTAACAGTGCAGAAGAGCTCCATCAGACCCCCGTCCTCTCCTCGAGAGGCATGTATTAGAGCAGGGAAGGAGGCTGAGATGTGCACCAGTGACTGGGACACGCCCGGGGTGGGTGGGGCAGAAATGAGGCATTTATAGAGCGCCGGCTGTGTGCCAAGCACCAGGCCAAGTGTCCAACTGTCCCCTTCTTATTGATGAGGAAACTGAAGCAGAGGTGAGGGTCCCAGGATCCCACGGCTATTGAATGGCAAAGGCTGGATTTGAACTCAGGTCTTCCTGACTCCAAGCCCAGCCTAGCAGCTCAGCCCTGGTAGAACAGAGATGTGAGGTAGGGCTTGAGTCCACCAGGAGCCCCTTGAGAGCAGGTTTGAAGAAAGGGACCCTGGCTTTGGAGTCAGGCTCTGAGTTCAAATCCAAGCTCTCTGCTCCTATCTTCCTGAGTGATGGTGGACAAGTCTATTTTCTTCTTTGGGCCTCAGTTTCCTTCTCTGTAAGAAGAGAGGGTGGGATTGATCCTTCTTTCTGAATTAGCTGTGCCCAGGTATTGGGGGTGGGGAGATGAGCTCAGAGGGACCCCTGAGGTCAGCCAGACCAGGAGCCTGAGGCCCTGGACTCCTCCCCACAGGTGACCCCAACTGTGCCCGCCAAGAAGGGGTGAAGAGGAAGGTGGCGGAGTACTTGCGGCGGGCTGAAGAGATCCTACATCTCCACCTGCAGCCATGAGCCTGCCTTCCTGCCCAGATGCTGCTGGCCGGCCCATCCGAGAAGCCTGGCTTCAGTTTCCCCATCTGTGAGATGGGGGTCAGCATACTTGCACTGCCCGCCCCCCAGTGGGATGTCATGAGGACAGTGCTTGGGGGTCTCACGGAGGTGCTGAAAAAGTGGGGGTCTCAGGAGGAGTCCTTCCCTCTTCTCCAATGTCCAATTATGTGGGGTAATTGACCAGCTACCCCCCCAAGCTGGGGTCCACACAACTGCCAATTAGACATTCCCCAAGTGCCCTTCAGACCACTGCACTGCCCAGCCCCGATGACCCAGCCCTCCCTCACCACTCTGACCACACAGTGGCATCTCCCACCTTCATGCCTTTCCCTAGGCCATTCCCCATGCCAGGAATGCCTTCCCTCCTCACCGTCTGACCTGGAAGTGAATGAATGAATGAGTGGCTAATCTGTGTACACGTGGTTCTCCGGGGGTAGTGTAAACCTCTGGAGGGCAGAGGCTTCTGTCTCTGTATGCCGGTGCCCAGAGCATCTCGGGCACTTAATAAATGCTTGCTGAATGCATTGGAAAGAATGGAAGCCTCTTCTGGCAGTCTGGACTACAATGTGAAGCATTCTGGGAAAACTAGACCTAGGCTTACGGCGTGGGGCACTATGGGAGGGGACCTGGTGATCAATTGCCATTTTACACGCTTGTGCATCGTTAACGGGCGCCACGCGGTGCATTATGGAACTGGGCCAAGGCTACATTGCAGTATATGACTTGGCCTCTATTAGTGCTCAGGTGTTTCTTGGGAGGTGGAAGCCGGAAGTAGCGCGTAGGAGGGCGGGGCCATAATTGGGTGGGTGGGGCCAAGTAAGGCTGTTGAGGCTTGCTCCTCGGCATAGAGGGAGGCCGGTAGGGGCGTGGCTAGAAAGATGATAGCTGTGGTTGGGAGAGAGGCGGGGCTAAGCAAAGCAGACAATGCTGTGATTGGACAGGAACGTGAAGGCGGTCGCTTCAGCCCTGGAGGGGCGTGGCCGGGGTACGGAGCCCACTGACGGGGGCGTAGCCGACGAGTCGGATAAGACGTGAGGGGTTCGGTCTGGCGGCTGCTCGGGAAACTGGTGGGGTCAGACGTTGGGATCCCGGAGATGGCGCCAAGTCCCACGGCTGGGAAAGGCTGAGCAGTGGGGGTGGGACAGGGCGGAGGCCAGCGTCACGTGGGGAGGGCGTGGGGCCCCGCCCAAGAGCGGGAAGTGAGGTGAGAGCCGAAGCGGAGCGAGGGCTGAGGAGGAGGCGTTGGGGCGGGGCCGGTACGAGCCAGCCCTGAGCCTCCTCCCCTCCTTCCCTCCCTCCGACGGCGCACGCGCTCTCGCGCGTGCCGAGATCCGGCATGCCGCTGGGCGGCGCGCTCCCGCTGGGCACGTGCCCGGACCTGTGCCCCGAGGCGGAGCGCGCGGCGCGTGAACGCCAGCGGCGCCTGCACCGGCTGGAGGCGGCCCCTGCGCGCGCCGTCAAAGAGTACGCGCGGCCGGCGGCGGGCAAGGCGCGCCCGCCCCCGAGCCAGCTGCGGCCGCCGCGCGTGCTGCTCGCCACCGTGCGCTACCTGGCGGCCGAGGTGGCCGGCCGCGCCGACGTGCCCCCGCCCGACGTGGCCGTCTTCGTGTGGGACCGGCTGCGCGCCGTGCGCCTCGACCTGCTCCTGCAGCCCTCGGCGCCCCCGCGGGACGCCGCCGCCGTGCTCGAGGCCGCGCTCGCCTGCCAGCTCTGCGTGCCCGGACCGCCCGGCGGCCACCCCGGCGAGGGCTCCGGCGCGGGGCTGGACCCGCAGCTGCTGCACACGCAGATGCAGGAGGCCTTCGGCTCCCTGCGCCGCTGCTACGCCGACAGCCCCGAGGTGCACCCGCGCCAGGGCTTCTTCCAGAGCCTCTTCCTGCTTTACAACCTGGGTGAGTGCCGGGGGCGGGGCGCGACGGGCAGGCCCCTGGTGCAGATGGGGAGACTGAGGCCCAGGGGCAGAAGAGCTCGGGCTCCAAGGCCTGGCTTGTGACCCCCGGGCCGGAGAGGACCGCCGTCCCCCACGCACCACCGGGCACCCCCTAGTGCGGCCCTGGCAGGGGGAGGGGAGGCCGGGCGCTGTCCGCGGTGCTGATTCCGCGCTCCGTTCTCCCCAGGCTCCGTGGAAGCCCTGCACCAGGTCCTGCTGCTGCCCCCCGGCCTGCGCTCCTGCCCGGCCCTGCGCCGAGCCCTGGCCGTGGACGCCGCCTTCCGAGAGGACAACGCCGTCCGCCTCTTCCGCCTGCTCGGCGCCCTGCCCTACCTGCCCAGCCGGGCCGCCCAGCGCCACGTGGGGTCGGCCCGCCGCAGGGCCCTGGCCGCCCTGGCCCGGGCGCTGGGCACCTCCCGAGGCCAGGCCTACCCGCTGCGCCGCCTGGCCCGCCTCCTGGCCATGGACAGCCTGGCCGAGACCGGGGCCCTGTGCCGGGCCCACGGGCTGGCCGTGGAGGGGGAGGCCGGGGACGAGAAGGCCGTCTTTGTCCGGGGCCGCTACACGGAGACCGGGCCCCTGCCGGCCCTGTCCTGTGGCCTGCTGGTGGAGAGCAAGCTGAGGGGGCTCAGTCTGGAGCAGGTGGTGATGGGGGAGGAGGGGGAGGAGGGGGAGGCCCTCTCCAGGACACCCCGGTGAAGCCACGCTGCTCCCCCACCCTCATCCCCACGTGCCAAAGACCCCTCCCCATCCTGACTCTTTGCCAGTAAAATTGGCTTTTTAAATGCCTGACCCTGAGGATGATTCCCAGTGGGAGAGGGAAAGGTGGGCTGGGCACCTGCAAGTTGACCAGAGAATGGATACGCCCTCCATCCTACCCACCCCCCAAACGCTGAGCTGTCACCACCCACCCTCTAAGAGCCAGAGGGATTGGAACCCAGAGTTCAAGGTGTGTATATGGGGTGCAGGAAGAGCCGTGTAGCAGGTGTTGATGACTTAGTATGTCGTGCTCCACCTGGTGAGGTGACAGGAGAGGGCGTACGCTCTGGGCCCCAGCCCCTCAGGGGTCTGAAGATAAAGAAAAAGAGGGGAACAAGGACGTTCCTTCAGTCTTTAAGGTTTCCAAACCCTTTTGCTCAGTTAGGCTTGCCAGAGAAAAGATCACAGCAGAAGGAAAGGGTCACAGACACGACACGGGGTGAGGAGATCTCGGGGGGAGCGGTCACAGACATGGCGTTAGGGGATCTGGGGGTCAGCTGGGTCAGAGGTCGTCCACAGGCTCCAGGGTGGCTGCTGCCCCCTCCACGGCCATTGCGGCAATGCTGAGCTGCTTCTTGACCTTGGCCCAGGCGCTGGGGTCATTTGGCGTCTTCACGGCCTCGTCATAGGCATTGGCCAGGCCGGGGAATGTCACCACATTGGATGTTCGAGGGGCCCAGAGAACGTGACTGTAGGGAGAGAGGAGAAGGCCGTGAAGCCTGAGAGCGGAAAGAAGTTGGGGTTCAAAGCAGCTGCAAGTTGTACCCAGAAGGCTTGGGCAGCCTGGTGCTTCTTCTGGGCCCATTCCTGGCTTTCCAGGCTAGCGCTGACTTCAGGGCTCCCCCAAAGAAAGCATTCCTCTCGGAGGTTAGGTGGGGCCAAGGCTGCTAGTGGGAAGGGGTGTGGGTGTGTCAGGGCTTTATCACCTGTAGTAGTATTTTTCAGGGAAGGCCCGAGTGTTCAGGAAGGCTCGTTCCAAGAGCATGAGCTGGTCATTCACCATCCGTACCTTTAGGGGGCTGGCACAGAAAGGGGGGGGTAGTCAGAGTAGCCTCTATTCGAGCTCTTCAGTCCTGTGTGACTCTTTGTGACCCCAATGCCATTTGGCGTTTTCTTGGCAAAGATACTGGAATAGTTTGCTGTTCTCTTCTCCAGCTCATTTTACAGATGAGGAAACCAAGGCAAGCAGGGTGAAGTGATTTGCCCAGGGTCACACAGCTAGTGTCAGAGGCCAGATTTGAACTCTGGGAGATGAGTTTTCCTGACTCAGACCCGGCCCTCTGTGCACTGTGGTGCCCCCTGGCGGCTCTAATCAATCATTTCCCTAGCATTTTTTAAGTACTTCTATTCCAGGCTTGTGCTGAGCCCTGGAGATAAGATGAGGAAACTGAGGCAAACAGTTTTAAGTCACTTGCCCAGGGTCACACAGCTGGCAAATGCCTGAGGCTGGATTGGAATTCATCTTCCTGGCACTAACCTCACTGCCCTCCCCTATTCAAGTTAGCAAACTTTTATTAAGCCCAAGTGCCAGGCCATGTACTAGACCCTGGAGATACAAAAGGGAAAGTTTGCAGGTCCTGCCCTCAAGGTGCTTATCTTCTCTGGGCAGTGGGAGAGAGTGATGAGGGGGCACTTCCAGGGCCTTCAGGAAAGGCCTCAAGGTTGCTGCCCTCAACTGAGCTTTGAAGGATGCCTCCAGGAGGCAGCAGTGAGGGGGGGGATGGGAAGCACCGCTGGCCGGGCAGGCCTGGGGCAGGCAGTTTGTGGTCAATTCCCGGAGCTCTCCTGACCTCCAGCTAGCCCAGCTGCCTGTCGGCTGCCCTGTAGACATCTCAGATTCAACAATGTCCCATCCTGAACTCGTCTTCTCCCCCTCCCCCTGCCCTTCCTAAAATGCAGGTCCACCCATGTCTGTCTGTCACACACTCTCACACACACGCTTCCTGCCTCTACCCCCATTCACCTCCAGGGTGAAATAAAGAATCCTCTGGTACTCCAAGCCCTTCCTAGCCAGCCCCCTCCTCCCCTCCCCCCAACTCTCTGTTATCCAGCACCTCTAGCCTTTTTGTTTCTCACCCCAGCCTGACTCCTGATTCCATGCTGAAAATGCCCTCCCTCCTCACTCCATCTCTGACTCAGATGCCACCTTCTACAAGAGGCCTTTCCCGTGCCCCCAAACAGCGAGGACCTTCCCTTGAGAATACTCCCCATTTATACCATATACATATATGCTACACATAAATATACATGTGTATATATTATCTGTATCTCTATACCTTAGGTGGCTCAGTGGTTAGCGTACCAGACCTGGAGTCAGGCAGACTTATCTCCCTGAGTTCAAATGCAGCCTCAGACACTGACCAGCTGCATGACCCTGGGCAAATCACTTAACCCTCTGCCTCAGTTTCCTCATCTGTAAAATGAGCTGAGAAGGGAACGACAAGCCACTCCAGTATCTCTACCAAGAAAACCCCAGAAGGGTTCACAAAGAGTCAGACGTGACTGAACAAGAACAGCATATGTCCTCATTGTTGGTATGTTGTCTCTCCTGTTAGACCGTGAACTCCATGAGGGCAGGGACAATGTTTTTGTCTGCGTTCCCTGGCACTCAGCACGGTGCCTGGAACATAGGAAGCTATTGATAGAAGTGCTTGTGGACAGGAAAAGCAAGAAGGTGGGTGATATAGTGAGTGGCACGTTCAGGGAATGGCAAACAGGCTGAAACGTTAAGCTTGTGAAGGCGAGTAATGTTCTGTGAGCCCAGAAAGGTCGGCTGACCCCCAGACTGGGAAGGGCTTTAAACCCCAGAAGAAGACCCTGGCCCGGATCCTAGCGGCACTGGGAGCCGGGAGAGCTCTGGAGCTGGAGAGTGGACTCCGTCGGCTCCCTCTTAGGGCCCTGGCTTAGAATACCTCGCCTTCCTTGGACCCAGGGACTCACTCAGACAGGTTCTTCCTGAGGGTTTCAATGCGCTGATCCAGGGCAGCCGCTGCCCGTTCAAACCTCTCCACGGCCGACACCAGAGGCCCTGCGGCAGGAGGGAGAGGACACCCAGCTCAGGCTGGGGAGGGCAGAGCCGCGCACCCAGTGCTGGCCTGTACCAGAAGGCCCTGGACAGTACCCAGATCGATGCTCTGCTGGCCCAGCAGGGGCCCCAGCTTATCCTGGGCGGCCTGGAGGAAGCTCCGGAGAGTCTCACTGTAGTCACCGATGTTGAGAGGCAGCAGGAGGCTGTCACTGAGGCGCAGCAGGACGTTGACAACTGTCTGGGCCACGGCGCGGTGGCTGGTGAAGCCTGTGTAGAGAGAGGCAGCTGGCGGGATCAGCCCTGCTTCCCCAACCCCCTCCCCCACTCCCTGGGCCTCCCACTCACCAGGGTCGAGAAAGCTCTCCACATACTGGAAGGTGTCGAAGGCAGTGTGGTAGGTGGGGTAGATCCGGGCTGAAGTTTTGCTCTGGGGGAGCGAGGGGTTCAGTTCGGCCACGGTGTCTCAGTGCAGGTTGGGTCCTGTGGGCGGGGTGGGGCTGGGGAGGCCTGAGCCAGAAGGGAGCTCCAAGCCCTGAGCGGGTCTGAGGAGCCTCAGGCCCTCCCAGGACACAGAGGCCCCACTCCTGGCCCAGTGGCCAGAATCTAAGCAAGGGATGGTGCGAGAGGCTCTCTTAGCTTTGCGGGCCCTGGAGCAGACACGTCAGGGGAAGGGTCTTGGGAGAAGAGGGCCGTGGGGATAGGGCCCCTCCTCATGTCTGTGCCCTGGGACAAGGCCCCAGTGACTCACTCACCCGGTCGTAGGTGTAGGCAATGTCCATGGAGGTGATTCCCAGGAAGTGGACAAAGGCGGCGTAGTCGCTCCCGGAGCCCAGTGTGCCCAGGCTGCAGGGGTAGGGGGCAGCTCCTAAGTTTGTCTTTATTTACTATATACAAATCTTTCTCCCCAGTAGAGTATAAGTTCATTGAGGACAGGAGCAGTAGCCCCAACATCTGGCACAGTGCCTGGAGTGTAGCAGATGCTTAGTACGTGTTTGCCGATTATTTGACCCATGGTCTCCTCAGATCCCAGGCTCTTCCTCACCTGGGTATGACGCCATGAGCAGGGCTGCTTCGGTTGTAATATTGGAGCCAATTGTCATAAACTGTCAGACCGCTCTTCCCTGGTGCTGGGACCTGGTCAGGTGGGGATGGAGTAAGCAAGGCAGCCACTCGCCCCACCTTCCCATCCAGACCCTCTGGAGGGCTCTCCCCCACATCCCTCTCCCTCCCTCTCTCCCTGCACCTGTTTTGCTGCAGTGAAGATAACACTCTGGGCAGGGGGGGTCCCCTGTGCCCTCAGGGTAGCATTGGCTGGCAAAGGAGGAATGAAGACAAGTCAGTGTCCCTCTTCTGTGAACAGAGCCCTGGGGTCCTGGCCCATTGATCTCGCCCTAGGACCCCGACTCACAAAATCCCCTGGCTTCTTGGCCTCAACCTTTGCCTTACCAAATACAGCGATGTCCACATTGATATAAGCCACTCCCCGCTCCTGCAGCTTGCTGAAGAACTCCTGGGGGTCAGAGGCCAAAGGTTAGTAGGGCGACCTTCCCCCAGCCTCCCTCCTGGCCCACCTGTGGGGTCACTCACTTCTGTGAACTCAGTGGACCCAATGAGGCCAAACTCTTCGGCCCCCCAGCTTGCAAACACAATTGACCGGCGGGGTCGCCACTTTCCTGGAGGAGACAGAGTTGGGAGACACAGCTGTTTGGGTCCTAGGAGGGTGGCATACTGGCAGGGCAAGGAAGGGGGAGCCACGGTCTGTGTTGGGAGAATCGAGTTCATCAGCCCATCCACAGACTGAGAACCGCTAGGACCTCCAAAGCTCCTGATGCAAGCCCCTCATGTCACTGTTGCCTTGATCGTCTGTGCTCGTGCTGTCCAGCCTGAGGAGGTTGGGAGGAAGGAAGCCTGGGCAGTGGGGTGGGGGAAGCGAGGATGACAGCCCCGAGTCATGGGAAGGGAGCTTGGGGGTTCTGGGGGGAGGGGCGTCGCAGTCTCACCAGCTTTCACTAGGGTCCCCAGCACCCTGGAAATCTCCAAGAGCACAGCGGTGCCACTGCTGGGGTCAACAGCCCCGTGGACCCAGCTGTCCCGATGGTTCCCGTACAGAACATAACGGTCTGAGGCAGAGGAGGCAAGAGGGTCAGATACAGGGAGGGGTAGGCTTGATGGAGCAGAGGGTCAGAAGGGTAGGCTGGGCATGGGGTGGCGCTTCCTTACCAGGCTCCACGGCCCCCCGGATGATGCCCAGGACGTTGGAGGAATTCCTGAGTTCCAGCCGGTTGTGAACAGTGACATTCACCTCACTTTGGGGGGGGAGAGAGAGGGGTGCAGAAAGGTGAAGAGATGGCCAATGAAAAGAAGAGAAATAACAAAGGTGAGGGGCGGCAAGAGAGAGGGGTCAGCAGAGGCTGGACAGGCCCTGGTTGTCCCCTAGAGGCCATCCCTGCACTGACTGGGAGGAGGGACTAGATGCCCCAGGGATCCATTCCAGGTCTGGGGTTCTGGGGAGGAGGGAAAAGGGGCCAAAGGCACCACAGGGAGGGGGTGGGTACACTCGGGAATAAAGGGATGTCTTCACCTGTCCTGGGAAAAATGCCCGTTGTCCAGGAAACCTGGTCCCAGCCTGTAGTCACATCCCAGGGCCCCCTGCCAGGAATCGGGAGCTACAGACCCTTTGAGGTTACTGGGAAGGAGACAAAGGGTTAGGGTCATAGAAGTCAAACCTGGAAGTAACCTGAGAGAATATTCCAACTTCCTCATTTTACAGGTGGGAAAACCTAGGGGAGGGGAAGGGACTGGCCTACCTGAGGAGGAAAGATGGTGCTCCCTGGAGGTGAAAAGGAAGGTACCGTGCCCCCACCCCAAAAAATTGTATGGGAAGGGAAACTCACCAGAGCAGCTTCTGGGCATCCTCGAAGCTAATAGGCTGGGTGGGAATTGGGGGGAAGCCCTGAATGTCAGCATTCTCCAGGCGGAAAGCAGAAGGGGTAGCAGGAAAGTAGGGTGTTTTGGGGTCCCCAAAATGCTCATAATAAGAACCACGTTCCACCCCTGAAGGAGGCAGTGCCCAGGAGTGGGGAAAAGTCTCGTTAGGGAATCTCAGGTTGTCATTGATGTCCCCGGGGTCAGTGTAGACCAGAAGCCCAGCCACTCCATGTTTGGCTCCATTCACAGCCTGCAAGGGACAGAGGACAGTGGTGGCCAGCTCCACCCTTCTGGCTCTGCGCTCCTTCCCTCCCCACCCTCTTGCTCAGGGGTCAGGGGACACCTTAGAGAATAAGGTTCAATAACCTCATAATTGAAGTCCCAATTCCACAGAGTCAGACCCTGTCGTTTTACAGAAAGCCCGGTACCCAACTGTGGTTATGTCCCCAGGCCCCTGTCAGGAACTGGGAACGAGCACCAGGTCTACTGAGGTTACTGGGAAGGAGACAAAGCATTAGGATCATAGAATTCAAACCTGGAAATAACCTCAGGGATCATGTCAACTCCCTCATATTGCAGGTGGGAAAACAGGCCCAGAGAGGGGTCCAAGAAAGCTGTCTCATGTCTGGCTGGCCTGAAAGGTGGTGTACCTCACCCAGTGAGCAAAGGGCTGGGCCAACCCATCTAAGCGGCATTTAATAGCAGAGCCTGGAGACCTAGAGTCTCCTGACTTCCACATCCTACCTCTACTGTCCTTCCTGTTGCCTCTCTTCTCTGTGGCCCACTTTCTGTTCCCTCCCTACAGGCATTTGATGCGTGCTCACCTTGGCTCCTCGCCCCACCCCACCATAGCGGGTCAGGGCGATGGTGCCAGTCAGGTTGATGCCCTGGTCCTTCAGGTAGGCATAATCACTCTCCGAGCCTCTGTTGGCGTAGACCAAAAGACCCTGAGCCCAAGGAACAAGAAATCAGAGAAGAGATTGTTCTTTCACAACTTGACTAATGTGGAAATATGTCCAAGAGGATTGGGCATGCAGAGCCTTTATCAGCTTGCATGCCATGCTGGGGAGGGAGGAAAAAATGGGGAGCTCAAAATCTTGTAAAAGTGAATGTTGGAAACTATCTTTACATGTCATTGGAAAAAAATAAAATCCTCTTAAGTAAGGAAAGAAATTAGAGGAGAGCCTGGGAGAGATGGGAGACGAGGTAGGGTGGGGCAGGAAGAGCAGTATGCAGTCTGCCAGCCCTCTGAAGCTTCTAACTGCAGCACCTTCTTTTACAGAGTGGGAGATAGAGGCCCCCAGGAGGGAAGGGACTTGCCCGGCTGGTCAGTGGCCAAGATTCTGCCTGCTCTCCTAACTCCAAATCCAGGGAGAGACCTGGAGGGTTGGCTGCCCGGTTCCCTTAGGGGGAGTGGAGGAAAGAACTGGAGCAGAGGGTCTATACCTGAGGGGTCCCTGCTGGGGCATAGGCAGCATAGGGTTGCACCACCTCCGGGTCTCCTTGCTCCCCAGTGAGGTTTGTCTCGCTGTGCTGGGAAGTGAAGAGAGTGGTTCCGTTGGAGCTCACTGCAGGGAAATGGGAAGATGGAAACCCAGGGTCACAGCAAGCGAGGGCTTAGGCAGCATTTAAACTCTGAGCCCACATCCAGTATTCTTGGTGCGACAGACCACTACCCCCACTGGAACCAGGCCAGGTGTGCCCCCTCACCCTTCGGGGAGGTGAGATGCATTCCTCCCGCCCTCCTGCTTGTGATCGCTGTACTGGCAGATCCTAGCCTTACCCACTCGGACTGTATTGGGTTGCTCTCGACTGGGGAAGGACAATAGCACCTCGTATACCCCTTCCCCGGCAGCGTCCAGCCCCGACTCAGGGTTCTGCCACCTCTGCAGAAGGAGCTGGACGAGATTTTCATCCCTTAAGGTGGTGGCCATGTGGGGCTTCAAGGACAGCTCCCTGCAAGGAGGAGAGATGAGCCTGGGTCATCACAAGGACAGTGTGGG